CTTTCTTTCTTTCTTTCTTTCTTTCTTTCTTTCTTTCTTTCTTTCTTTCTTTCTTTCTTTCTTTCTTTCCTTCTTCTCTTGCATTTAAACGACACGAGCAAGGATGGACGGTCACCCCCTCGACTGCGCTGCTCGGGCCAGGCGGTGCCACCGAGGTCTCTGACCTTGCGCTCCTGAGCGGGATCCGCCGAGGTGACCGCCGGCCCCCCCGCCCCCCCCGCTCCTGGGGGGGCGGGCAGAGGACTCTTCCCTTTCCGACTGGCGAGGGCTTTATGTCTGGCTGGGGCCGGGGGCACGGAGCTGCGCTCAGAAATCGCTTCAGTCACGCAGACCTTTTCCCCGAGGTTCAGCTCCCCCAGGTTCAGAACGCCCTGTGGGAGGCCACAGCTCTTCATCAATAGCGTCAGAACCCTTTCCTGGAGGAGCCCAGAACTGTTACCCAGACAATCTGAGGGGCTATAGGAAGAAGGCAAAAATGGTACAAAAAGATCACCAAAGCAGATAGGAAAAGCACAAGTTAAACGGGACATTGCATAGGAAAGAGAAATACAGGAGTTTTTTTTAGTGTCACTTTTTGTGTGTTTAGTTTTGAGTTTAAACAGCACTTGGGACATCAATATGAATATAATATTCCCCTATCCACCAACTAGAGAAACGGAACTTTCTACCTTCTGAGAATCTTTCCCTGAAAAATTATCCCAGTCTTGTCCTTATTGTCGCTCCCTTAACCCCCACACACCCCGCCGAGCACCAGAGGACAACCCTCCATAGAGCACATTTTTCATCTTCGGCGGTTTAAACCCATGCCATGGAGAATCGTAATAAATTACTTCCAGGAACAATGTAAGTGATGTTTTAAAGCTTGGCTGTTTGGCGTTGGTTTAGCTAGCAAAAACTGCCAAGCTCCAGAGCCACACCAACTCTTATACCTTGTTTTACCTCTTAATGTCGCTCATCCAGCCACCCATTCATTCATCTGAAACCACTCCTTTCTTGTTCCTGACCCAGGAAGACTGGCTTGTTCACATCAACTTTTCTCAGAGATTCTTCTAAATTGAAAAATGCAATGATTTTCTTAGATAATAACTAAGATTTCAGAATTCACTTCCTTGAATGCCTGACAGTTTCTCATCATTATGTGATGAGATTCTCCTGTTGATAAGATTCTCTGGCAAAAGTTCTCTATATTGTGTCGAAATAATTTCGGACCACAGAATATGTGATTATTTCTTGGTAGATCAGCGACCTTATCACACATCAATAATGATTTGATTATCTGAAACCAAACCTACTGACATAGTAGATTAACAGTGATATAAACTGAGACTTTTGAATTAAAATATGATTCCTCTGCTAGGAACAAGAGACATCAGGTGTCATTAAGCTTTTGTAATGGGAATGGAGAATGTCTTTCAGTTTTATTGGAACTATGCACTTGCATTTTGGTATATAATAAGACAGCTTTCACTACCAAAGCATTTAAGAGAATGTCCATAGGTGATCTGTAAACAACACCTCAATGAGAGATCTGCATAACAAATGAAACCTGTTAATCTTCACTCTTTGGCCTCACTTGGGCTGGAAAATTTCCAAGAAGCGACTGGGTCAGTGCCCACTTCATTTCGATGCTTTGAGAATCCTGTGGGCAAAGAGTACCCAAAGAATGTGTTTTGCTCAAGAAGCACGATTTAAAGAAAATGGTGTAAGATCTCTCTCCATTGTTCGAATTTCTAAAACAGCCAACAACTTGCTTTTAAGAGTCTTTCAGCAATTCTCAAGGAGGAAACTGAGAAAGTTTAGTAAACCCGATCTAAAAAGAAAAAGAAAAAAACACCCAGTACTGTGATCTCTTTGGATTTGTTATTACAGTCTTAAAATAACAACCAAACCCTGGGTTGGAAAAGAAAAACCCTACGGATTAAGTAACTATTTATCTCAGTAGAATAATTACTTGTTTGACCTGAAGTCATTCATTCCTGAAACACTAAGTTAAATTGCTGAGATTTTTTGAAAACCGCAGCTCCGATTATATTCCTGGTTAACAGCGTCTGACCAAGGTGAGCGGAGCACGCAGGGCGAGTCTGAGCATCACTCAGGTGAAGACCGCTCCGGAAAGACCCTTTGGTATGAGATGGAGAAGGGACGTTTTTCATCAGATTCACAAGTGGGAAGGCATAAGGACTAAAACCACAGGTAGCTGAGATGGCCGGGAAAGGAAAGCCAGTCTCCCTTCTCTCCCCAGCACTGTTGCAAAGGAAGGTGAATTCCGAGCGTGAGAGAAGAATTTAACCTCAGTCCCAAGGTGCAGCGTAAAGAAGCGGCCGCGCAGTGCCCCAGGGGTGTGTCACCGAGCTGCCCCGAGGAGCTCGTCTAATCCCCTTTAATGATACTTCCGCCCTCTTCTGGACCTCACAGGCTCGCAATTGCAGCCACATTCTAGGGTCAGCGGGTTTCTGCCTGCCAGCGCCTGTCCCACAGCACTTCCGGAGCCGGGGTTGACACCCTGGGATGAGGCGTGACCCCGAGCGCTGGCCCGGCGCGGGGCTGGGAGCGGGAGGCCGGGGTGGTGTCAGCCCTGGCAGGTACAGTCTACTCGGTGCGCTCCGCAATGAACGAAATTTCAGCGTGTGCAGTGTGGCCCTAAGCTCCTGGCGGGCGCAGGGACCCCCAGCCCAGCCCCCGGGGCCGAGGGAGGCCAGGCCCGGGGTTTGCGCGCCCGCCCGCCGATGGCCCCGCGCCCCAGGAACAGGGAAATGAACGCGCCGAGGCGGTGGCGGCCTCGCTCTTGCTTTCAGTTTTCATTGAAGCTGCTGGTTACTGTTTAACATCCCCACCCACGTTTCAGTTTGTTTAGTAAATCGATCGGACGGTGAGAGGCCGCTGCCCTGTCGCCATTGAGCAAAGCTAATATCCTCCCAGCATATGGTCTAAAATCTTCTCTAGAGATCGGGAACAAACAAACAAACAAACAACAAACCACCACCAACAAAGTCCTCAAAGCTCCTCTCCCCGAGCCCCTCCCCCACTCCCCACCTCCTGGCTTTCAGCAAACTTCCCAGAGTTGGAAAAGTGCAGCGCCGGACACCGCTGCCGGGTGGGTGGGGACCCCGCTGCCCGGCGCTGCGGTGGCTGCGGCGCCGCTGACTGCGACGCGGGAGCTCCGGGAGCGGCGCCCGCAGGTGAGTGACCCAGCCCAGAGGAGTCCGTCCTCCTCGGGCGGCTGCACCTAAGGCCAGGCAGTGTTGAAAGCCAGTATCCCCAGGCCTCTCGCGGCTTGGGGTGGAGGGAGGAAGAGAGGGCTGGAGGGGAGGCAACGGGTGAGGGTGGAAGATGTGCAAGGCGTTCATCCAGGACCGGAAACGGAGTCGTCCAGAGAGAGCTTTGGGCGCTGTCTCGAGGCACGTGATTCCCAGGTCTCTGGGGGGCCTTGGTGGAGTTTAGATTTTTTGTTTTTGTTTTTGTTTTTGTTCTTTTGGCCAAGGCTGGGACAGATGAGTGTCCCTGGACCTTGCAGGTGTGTGTGGGAGGTGCTTGGCCCAGGCGCATTACCCCTTGGCCTTAACTCAAGTCCATTTTCATCCCTTCTCTGGCCACGAGACACTGTGGAAATCGTCCTCTTCCCGTGATGCTGTTGGACCTGGACCTTATATCTTATTTAAGCCACCCCAGCTCCTTTGGGAAGAAGAGTACTTCGGGAAGCATAGTTAAGCCACAGGCAGGTTAAGCTTTAATCATGCTGTGTCTAACGGGAGTAAGCCAGCACAGCACGTGATAAGATCGTAGAACTGAATATAACAATTCATACCTGATGCTCTGAACTTTTAAGGCTGTCTGAAAATCCAGTCAAAGCACTCTTCTGTGACAGGAGAAACAATCTGGAAGCTCAAGGGCTAAAGAATACAGAACACAGAAACCCAAAACTTCATGAGGTGTCCTGTAAACTAAACACCTGATGGATAGCAGTATAGTCTGGCTTTTCTTTAAGTTACTTTCTCCTGTTTTTCTGATCATTTTAAGTTTAATCTCTCTTCCGTGTATTTTTATCATTAAATGATTCATCTGCCTCATATTCGTCCCCCTGCCCCTACCCTCTCACCATAACTCTATTGTCATCTCCTGCGCACAGTCTCACTCACCCGCCTGATCTTGGGTTTGAAGTCAGTGACCAAGGGTGCTTGGCTTCACCCTGGTACTTTGTGAGGGGTAGGAAGAGGCAGAGGAGAAAGAGGTAGTGAGTGCTGGTAAATTACTCACTTTTCAAAACAGACTGGAAATTGAGAGCCATTTGTCTTCTCCTTCCCGTTTCTCTCAAGTCCTATTTATGGGCCTACAGATTTGGGGATTTTCTCAGCATGCTTTATGAAGGTACAGCCCTTTTTCAAAGGTGTGTCTCTTAAGATTTTACAGGTACTTTATTCTACTATTGTGGTTATACACAAGTTGGAAAACACAAACTAATTCATAGGTTGCTAAGATTTTGTTAATACTATACATCATGGAAATAATCTTATTTTTGAGTGCCCGTTTATTTGGAAAATTTTTGTTATTTCCATGAATTCCAGAAGTAATACTAGCTTATATAAAAAAATGAAAATTTTAGTAAATTATCAAATGAATCTCCTTCTCCATTCCACTTCTCTTGATATTTGAGCTTGTGGCCCTCCAGTCTCCATGTGTATATCACAGAAATTTTTCTTTCATTGTTTCAAAAATTGAATAATATTTCATATTATACTAGTGTCTAGAAATTTATTTTTCATTTAGTGTGTTCCAGTTAATTCTCTGTCGGTATATGAAGAAGATCTTTTTTTCAATGGATCTGTCCAATGTAGCCAACCAGTGTCCTCCTGAACATTCTCTTGATTTTTGCAATTTCTTAGTATTATGAAAATAATATTATGACTATCTTTTTGTGGGTTCTGCTGAACATTTATTCTAAGAGAATTGTTGACTCAAAGGAGGATTCACTTTAAATTTGAAAGATACTACAAGGAATTTTCCTAAGTACCCACAGTATATTTTCAGTGCCAGGAACACTGGATAACAATGATCTATTTAAAATGTAGCCAATTCATTGTTGAAAAATCGATTAGTCAAATGTCAGCATTTAGTATTTGAATGTTATATAAGCCAGTCCTGGAACATCTGACTTAGGGTGTTTGAGAATTTTGCTTTGAAAATGGAAAGGGAATGAAATAAGTTTCAAAATGTCATTGTATTTTGAGCTTTTGAAAGATGCTCCAGCGTTTGTTACCATCTGCCCCTGTACTAAATGGCTAGAGATACTAGTATGTGATAAATGAAACTTTCTATATTACAAATGTATGAAATACTGTTGGTTTAGTAGTTGCTATTACGATTTGGTGGTTCTTGATTATTGTTTTTGCCATGTTCATAAAAGAGGACTCACATTCCTGGGATGAAGGCACGGTTTTAAAAAGAGGTATCGTAGCTTTGAATTCTTTAAAAGGAAACCCAACAAGTGGGTGTTCAGCGTTTATCCTCGCCACTCTCTTCCTTTACCAAGTGTAGGGACTTATAGCTATTGGTATTGGTCCTGCCACTTATGCATAGACCTAAGGAGTACTTCAGATATCACTTAGTATTTCATATGAACAAGCTCTTTACAATTATATACATACACCTTATGGTTAGTCTGTTTTGATTTTTTAAAATAACCTTTCCTTATGTTAAACTCACTATGTAGCTAAGGCTAGCCTCAAACTCATGATCCTCAGGCCTTAGCCTCTCAAGGACTGGGATTGCAAATGTCCACCATTGCATGTAGCACTAATATTTATTTAATACTCAGTATGGGCTAGGAAGTGTTTTGAGCAATTTATATGCATTTTCATTTTTATTTCTCATAAGAATCCTATGTAGTTCATATTGATATTCTTTTATAAATGGGAAAAATGAAACAGAGACTAAGGTCACGCATTTTATATGGGACAGAGCTGGGGATTCAAGCACAGGCATGGAGCTCTAGGCCAAGAAAATAGCCCTTGCTGCTCCATGTGGTCATGAGGTGGTTAGGTGGTTACCACATAAGAGTACCCTACTAAGGGAGAGTGTGGGTTGAAACTTTGACAGCCCACAGGTCAAACCAAGTCTCTTGGCTTCTGTCTGAGTGTTCCCTTGGCAAGCCACTTTTCTAGGTCACAAAATGTTTAAGACCAAACAACCACTTGCCTTTAATATATGATTTGTAAGAGCAATGTGTGTGTGTGTGTGTATTTGGATGCTTATGTAACTTTGTAATTCAATACTATCTTGCCCTTTCACCTTTCACTGGTTACACCTGGGAGAGCAGATCTGCCTGTCTATACTTCCTACCTTATACTTTAATACGAGGTGACAGAGTATGCTCTTTAAGTGGTAGAATTATATGATAGGATCTGATATTGTATTCCTGTGAACACCTTTCTTTTGATCAAGATAGCTTTCTGGAGAATGCCTAGGGAGTTCTTTTTTTTTGTTTTCTTTTTTGTACACTCATAATCTTGAGGAATATCAAGGCCTGTGAGGAAGAAAACTCCATGGGCATCTGTGTAGCATATAAGCTAAAAGCAGACTTTGTTGACTGATGAAAAGGTTTCTTATCCTTGCCCATTTATTTACTAAATGGAGTGTAGGTTCTTGTGCAAGTTAGCTCTTTGAAGATCAATTTTCTCATTTTTGAAATGCATGAAATTATAATTCCTTATCATTGAATTGGTGTGATATTTGGATATGTTAACCCATAAAAAACAATTAGAACAATCTTGGCATATATTGAGTACCCAATATGTGTTCTCTGTTGCTGTTGTTATGATAGAATTCATTTAAAACACTGCTTGACTTACAGTAAATTTTTAATAAATTTTAGCTGTTTTTATTGACTTGGTCTCTCTCAAGATTATTATATTTATATAAACAAGGGACTTATGAATTTAAGAATTTATGGGCCCTTAGAAACCTGGCCAGCCACTCTAATAGGCCTATGATATACAATGATGAATAAGACAGACTGTCCCGTCTTCATGGACCTTTTAGCTCTGCAATGTAGAGAAAAATCACTCTGAGGATGGTACAGTTACTTAAAATGTGAGCTCTGGATTTATTGTGACCTGTGTGCAAATTGTAGCTCTGTCCTCTGCCAGTAATATGTTCCAGAATATATTATTAACATTCTGTGCTTTAATTTAAAATGCTATAAAATGAGAATAATAGTCTTTGCTCTCAAAGTATTAAGTGGATGAATTTTTATATTATTTAGATCAAACACTTTAGTTGTTGAATTTTAGGCACTTTTTCAACACTATTTCAATATAGAAGAATCACATTTATATATATAACAAAAAGGTAACGTAGATAACTAGGCAGTATTTCCTCATCTTTAAAAGTGTTGGCTGATATCTTCTGGACCTGGTAATTTAATTTTTAAAAATTCTTTGAGTCTTTGAGTATTGTTCCTCTGGGCTTGCATACTGTATGGTATATTGCTTATGCTGACCAAGTGTTGCAAAATCTGAAATTTTTTGATTATTTGAGCACTTTCTTATTTCAGATGTCATGGTAATATGTTACAAATAGAAATGATACATATTTTTACCAGGAATTAAGTTACAGGGATTGTACCGGGTATCTGGAAGGCAGATATAAATAAAGCAATTTCCTCACCCTCAAACACAAATAGTTTCCTTGGGAAGACAAACACACAATGGTCTGGAATACATATATATATATATATATATATATGGTGATAATTAGCATAAATAATACTGTGGAAAACACAGAAGCACAAAGGATACTTGTAGCTTGAGTAGGCCACAGAATTTTAATGGAGGAGTTAATTTTTTTCTGATTAGAACATGTGAGGTAGCAAAGAGTCAGGGAGGCATTTGAGGCCATGCAGGTTGCACTTGGGTGGGACCTGTAGCAATAAGAAGTGTTTGAGGAACACTGCCCCAAAGTTGGCTGATGGTAAAGATGGGTGAGAGGGACCTTAGCCACTTGTGCTTGGCAATAGGAAGCTTGCAAAAGTCTTTAAGTAGGCTGGTGTTTGATTTCTTGCTTGTAAAGATTAATTAGCAGCACTTTGGAGGACAGTTTCAAGAGGGAGAGACAAATGAGAGGGGGAGAATAGGAACCTTTCACAACAGGACAGTGGTGATGAACAAGGGAAGCACAGAGAATC